ATTTGGTTCGGTTGCCTTAGGCTTAAGTTTCTAAGTTAAAATTCAAGTGCGATACTAGCGTTACTAAATTCCCGTTATTTTGGCTATGTGGTATATTCATCCGAATGTGTTATGACTTACACAGTGGAAATACGAGAAATAGGTCAGTATAATCCGAATAATATCCGCATAATACAAAATACTACCGTTCTCTAGTACTCACATGCCAGATTTTATTTAACTCTATGATTGGATTTTACCGCTTGAGCTTCCTAACCGATAAACACCATTATGAGCATTCCAACTAACAGTAATTATGTCACAAAAAAGTGAAAATATTTTGCATTCAGTAATATCACAGGACACTGAGAGTAACTAATAATCACGGTGTATTCAGAATATTTTTTCCATGCATATTTGATCAGCCATCACTGAGCTCTATCATATTATATCAGGTAGTCTCATGGCAAGCCAGTTAGCTTTGACACAAACTCTGGAGACCGGTGTGTCTCCATATAGTCATGGACTAGTAGCCCATTGAGAATAATAATAATAGCTTACCTGTAAACAAACATGATGCACCAGAAGACAAACTTGATAATTGTTTCTTCTGGAGCATATAAGTTCCTTAGTTTCTTTAAATAAAACATTGCTCATTAGCGAGGAATCACCACCAACTGGACGTGTTCATTGCATTTAATGTTAGCGGGAAAAAATGACCGCCAGATATTTGACATGCTGTACTACATCGTAGTCAACGGTCAAAGAATGCGACGAAAATCTTATTTGTGTCTGGCTTGTAGTATTGCGCATGACGTATGTTATTACATCCGTTTAACTGAGTTGAATTGTTTTGTTAATGCTATTATGTATCGTTATCATGCGATTGTTACGGCTGTCATTATTACTGGTTTTGAGTACTCCAGAGACTCCCTGGTTACCGTTGTCCACCTCTATCATCACTTCCATTAACGTGTTGAGTAGAAACTCGTGAACCGACAGACACTGACATATAGAAAGGATGATTTTCACATGTACATCCCATTCTTTACGTGATTTCAAATAACCCAGCACTACGGTGTCGTCAGGGTACTTGACGTTTCTCAGTCGAACACTGAAGAAGCAGTTGTTGGCAAAAACGCTAAATAATAATAGTGACGAAAAAACAGTGCCTTTTGTCACTCCAAAATCATTCGAAATCTGTTGATGTTTCCCATTCGTTTTTACGAATTGACGAAGATGGAAATAACTTATTTAGTCATATTTCTGATGAGAAGTTGACCGGTCATGATGCTGGATATTCATTTTCAGTGCTTTAACAGGTGTTGAAAGACGTCATCAGTAGCACTATCGTTCAAGACCAGTTGCAGGTGAGCGCTACGGGTAAACGTAGAATGGCAAGCGAATTTCAGATGTGACACGAACACTGTTGAAATAGTTGACAGAGAACAAATTGCGAAGTATTTTTGTTATTTATGTTAACCCTATACTGAAAAAAGGGGCAACACAGCATTCCTGTGAATGTTCCTCTTTAAGGACATTGTATCATGCATCCAAGACAAAGAGGAATTGCGACGGAACAACAGTTGAACAGGGGTAGATTTACTGAATGAACGTTGGGTGAGGTTTAATACCTGGAATTGATCGCTTTTTTTGTATTAGAACGACAAATGTCATTAATCGTTCTTGACGATAAAAGCATGAATACACAAGTTTGATGGCGTTGTTGCATTAGGTTTCCAGATATTGGTATTCTGGTGAGGATACGGATGCTGTTTATTCCATTTCCAGATTACGTCGATCAATCATCATGAGCAGTTTCGATCGTCCTCCGAAACAGTCGTCGCCGTTCATTTGTAGAGTAAATGGCACAGTTTCATGCTTTACGTGCTTTGTTTTGAGAATATTACCGAGCACGGCTTCCAGTCCTTCCTTTCTGAACTGTAGTCATTGTGGCTCTCTCATAGACAGAAATTTCTGAAAGAATATAAGGTGTTCTGTCGACCCAAAGCTTACTGTACACGATCAGCAAATGCAAGTGCTGCCATGGAATAAAAATCAGATTAGTGTAACTAACAAAGATTATATGGCAAGGCAACTTGTGCCAAAAAGTGCTTAAAACAACCGCA